AATTGGCCTGACGTCATGGTGATAATATTCCACTGATTTTTTTTTTTTAACCGGCAGACCGTTACCTGCGTCATGATTACATTTATTTATAACAAAAATTAATTACACATTATCATTGAGCTAATAACTTTTTGGCGACTTATAATCAGAGTCATGGTGCAATTTAATAAATGCAGTTTCATACTTTTTCTTCAAGCGTGTTTTTGTAGGTTAAATAATGTTTGTTATTGGGCGACTCGCGTTGCCGCTTTCTAAATCCCTTGTCCTTTTACTCATTCGAATTCTGCGAACACAAGAGTACAGATCTTAAAATAATTCTTTCTTCGGTGATATTAACTGATGAATATTGCTGGTGTTCGTCTGTACGTGTGCGATCAATGGTCATAAAATAATAAAAACTATAATAATGACAATAATAATAATACAAGCCATAATCATGATGACAAAAATAGTAATGAAATATCGCTATCAGTGTTAATGATGACTAAAAGGGCAATATTATCAGCAGTGATGATTATAACTAATGCTCCTGATGATAATGGTGATAAAATAACAGTATCGGTATCTAATGTGGCAAACCTTTGTCCTTATGGCGATGGGAATAACCATAACGATATTAATGGTAATGATAAAAATATTACATAATAGTGATTAACGAAATTAACAAGGACAATACTGATGACTATTCTGATAATTGAAATTATAGTTATATTGTCAACATAGTAACAATGATATTCACTTATTTTATATCTAGATTACTACTTTGATTTTTTAGTCTTATATATAGCGAAGGTAATCAAGATGACTTTACGATATAAAAGCGATAACATTAATTGGCAACAGTAACAAAAAATCGACAAATAATGCCCGTGTCCAAATGGCGCCAAAGTGTCAGCTGATTCAAAGCGTGTAGCCACGTGACCGCGGCCGACCAATCAGCGACTCGCATTACCAGGAGAAGGAAAATGGGCGAGGTAACCGACCGTCCACAGATGGGTTAACAAAACCCATTCTGATTAGACTGCCGGTAAAGGCCCGCCAAAATGTAACCCAGGCGAGACATGGGGGAGTGAGTGACCGATATGTGGATAAGTTTGTTGTATGAGAATAACGCTGACGTACACGGAATAAACAGATGCACTCAGCTAATTCCGTGACCATTCAGCTGTGTTATCAGTGCGGTTACGGGGTGAGTGATACACGTGCGTTTGTTCGTGCTTGTGGTAAAGAGAAAGACCGGGGGAGAGGGAAGGTAAGGGTAAGGGTGAGGGAGGAGAGGGTGAGGGTAAGGATAAGGGAAAAGGGGATGGTGAGAGTGACGGTGAGGGTGAGGGTGAGGGTGAGGGTAAGGGTAAGGGTGAGGGACAGGGGCAGGGACAGGGACAGGGACAGGGACAGGGACAGGGACAGGGACAGGGACAGGGACAGGGACAGGGACAGGGACAGGGAGGGAAGAGAGAGAGAGAGAGAGAGAGAGAGAGGGAGAGAGAGAGAGAGAGAGAGAGAGAGAGAGAGAGAGAGAGAGAGAGAGAGAAGAGTGAGTGAGTGAGTGAGTGAGTGAGGAGAGAGAGAGAGAGAGAGAGAGAGAGAGAGAGAGAGAGAGAGAGAGAGAGAGAGAGAGAGAGAGAGAGAGGGGGGGGGAGAAGGAGAGGGAGAGGGAGAAAGAAGTGGAAGGGGAAGAAGGTAAAGGAGGGGAGGGAAAGATAGATTATGGGAGAGAGAGAGAGAGAGAGAGAGAGAGAGAGAGAGAGAGAGAGAGAGAGAGAGAGAGAGAGAGAGAGAGAGAGAGAGAGAGAGAAGGGAGAGAGAAGAGGAGAGAGAGAGAGAGAGAGAGAGGGAGAGAGAGAGAGAGAGAGAGAGAGAGAGAGAGAGAGAGAGAGAGAGAGAGAGAGAGAGAGAGAGAGAGAGAGAGAGAGAGAGAGAGAATGGGAAGGGAAGGGATAAGATAATGAAATGAGCGGAGGGGGACGGAAGTGAGAAGAAGTGAAAATGAGAGAGAAGGGAGACGAAAAAGAGAAAGAAGTGAAATGCGTGTGTGTTTGTATGTGTGAGTGACAGAGAGAGAGAGAGAGAGAGAGAGAGAGAGAGAGAGAGAGAGAGAGGAGAGAGAGAGAGAGAGAGAGAGAAGAGAGAGAGAGAGAGAGAGAGAGAGAGAGAGAGAGAGAGAGAGAGAGAGAGAGAGAGAGAGAGAGAGAGAGAGAGAGAGAGAGAGAGAGAGAGAGAGAGAGAGAGAGAGAGAGAGAGAGAGAGAGAGTCCGCACGCGCGCGTGTGCGTGAAATATATCAATGTGTGTATATGTGCGTTTGTGGCGGTATGGGTCAGGGTCGAGCGTGTGCGTATTCGAGGCTGGTGTTCGGGCAAGGCAGCTGCACAGTCAGCGAGTCAGTATGTCTCTAACGCTCGTGGAGTGAAGAAGTGTGTGTCTTGCCGCTGCTGGCGAGTGTGACGTGTACCGCTTAATCGTTGGAATAATACCGGTCCCAGTGTATCAGCCATCAGGTAGTGTCAAAGTGCTGTTTGTGTGTGAAAGAAAGTATTATTGCCTGTGTATTTCGATAAGAGGAAAACACAAAATGATTCCTACCGCCAGAGATTAGCAGCTGAGTGTAATACTTGTTGTTACGTGTAACTAACATTAACAGTGCTTGATGTAGTGTTATTAGGTTTGCATTACGCATAATGGTAACCTCTAGCTTCCATTCTGTCTCTCGGCTCAATCACTCGAATAACTCCAACTTGACAGTCCGTGATGCAAGAGATGCAGGGCGCTGCCAGGCTCTCTCACATGGGACATTTTATCGGCATAATTAATGTCACCGTTTTACAGTGGCACCAAAAGGAACAGCAAAAACACCTGTTGTCGTTTTAATGCGCGACAATGGATTATTATTATGTAATGTATTTGAATGTGCTAATCAAATGTCTTCATCAGAGACATCCTTAAGTGAGCCTGTTGTTTATACTGGGACATGCGGATGAGTGTAGGTTATCTCCGAGCAAGACGTGGCTCCAGGCTAAATATTGTAAGGTTTACCTCCTATTTCGCTTTTAGCATCTTGCAGGTAGGGCAGATAGGGGGTATTTAATTACTGCCTCCTTCGGTCTAAGATTATTTGGTATCCGTTCGAATTATTTTATTTATATATTTCTGAGGAATATGTATGTACGTAACGGTCGAAAAAATTGTGCCGTTACAGGTACGGTTTTCCCTGTTTAGTTATCTAACGAACGATGACTGAGAAAAAATGCTGCTTCATACAGAGGCGCACGTATTCAGAGCATGCCTAGTTGCTCATAGGCACACGCTGAATTTCTTTAAATTATTTTACTGGGTGTATATATCATACGTATTGCTTACAAATAATTGTAGACTTATATACACTCCTCCACAATTATTGCACAGATGATAAAAGTTAATTAACCTGAACATCCCCAGGCAGCTTGTTAATTACTGCAGCCATCGATGTTTTATTGATGGAAGTAATAACTAGGTAGCTTTGACAAGGAAAAGAACCGCGGGAGTTGGACCACGTGACACCCGATGAGTTCCAGAGTGACCATTAAGCAGAGGGACCAGCAGATTCCTCCTTTCTAATCCGATAAAAAACTTGTCATATTATCTCGAGAGGAAATAACTGTGACTCCATTGAATTACGTAATTTCTTTGTCTCGCTCAAATGATTAGATCATGAACTGGGCCAAGTGATCTAAGAGAGCAGATGACTCGGAGCAGCTGAGCCACGGAGTGCATGATGAAGAGCCAGCGCAAGCGTAACGAGGAGTAATGGTCGACAAAAGAGGACAAAAAGTGCCTCGAGTGACGTCCCTGTGTTCGCTCGCACTCTTGGGTTACATCCTCGGCCTCTCGAGACCACTGTCGCCACGGCCGTCCCCTGCCCTCCCCCGCTGCCTGCCTCTCCCTCTCCTCGCCACTCTCCACTCTCTCTCTCTCTCTCTCTCTCTCTCTCTCTCTCTCTCTCTCTCTCTCTCTCTCTCTCTCTCTCTCTCTCTCTCTCTCTCTCTTCTCTTCTCTCTCTCTCTCTCTCTCTCTCTCTCTCTCTCTCTCTCTCTCTCTCTCTCTCCTCTCTCTCTCTCTCTCTCTCCTCTCTCCCTCTCTCCTCTCTCTCTCTCTCCTCTCTCCTCCTCTCTCTCTCCCTCCCTCCTCCCTCTCCCTCCCTCTCCCTCCCTCTCCTCCCCTCTCTCCTCTCTCTCCTCTCTCCCTCTCTCTTCTCCCTCCTCCTCCCTCTTCCATCTTTGTCATTACATCATCAAGAGACGGCTAAAAGGGAGTCGGCGAGGGGAATCGTGATAGGGGTAGGCGGCGAGTCGGAGGGCAACAGTGACCGGTAGGACGAGGTGCCGGTAATAAGGGTCAGAACACGTGGTCGAAGGCCCGGGGGAAAGAGGGGGTCTTGTGGAGGGGGAGGGGGAGGCTGGCGGGAAGGGTTGAGGGACTCCCTCTTTGTTATATGTGAACGGATATTATCGCGGTAGCCTGCCAAGCCGTTTTCTTTGCAAAATTGAAGAGAGAGTTGTTGAAAATTTCATTTGAAAAGTTTACATGTCCATCAAAGAGCCAGGGGAGACATCTAAGCATCTGTCCAAGTTTGCGGCGCTTCCACTGATTTATTATAAATATCACATAAAAGCGCGAGTAGGGCGAGTATGTATTTGAAGTTATATGGGGCAATCAGTTGTCAGCTGGCTTTCTAAGGTTCACAATCTGCAGAAATTGTTGACCGAAGAGAGGAAGCATCCATTCCTGGAACTGACGTTGCTGAGCAGTCTGCTCCTCGTGTGCTCTGTCGCGGAGCTGGGGCTGGTGTTGCAATTGGAGCTGGTGTTGCGGCAGGTGCCATGGCTATTGCTTCAGGATTTTTGGTACCGACATTCATAAGTCTTGGGAATTCGACCTCATCCTTAAAACGAGCAGGTGGGACCGAGTCCTTCGCGGAATTGCCTGCTTTTCTGTATCTTGTAGAGAGAGAAACAATTGAAAAACAAAAACAAAGTGATAGACACAGACAGGAGACAGACATAGACAGAACACAGACAAAAATGAAAAATAAATCAATATAAATGTGGTTTACTTAGGACGGCAAACGTCAAGGTTCTCAGACGGTCACAAAGCCGGGTTTCAAAGGCAGAGGAACCTCGTGATGGCGAAGAGAGGCGACTTCTCTCCATAGATGACGGGGGATGAAGGGAAGGGTGTGTTTGGGTGGGCGGCAAGGGTCTTGGTCAAGGGCCGGGGAGGAAAAAAGGAAGTTAGTTGGAAAGAAAACACCGTTACCAGAAACGGAGATAGACACTAGGCTGATCCATTCAGAAGGAGGGAGAGGCTAGGAGAGGTGGGGAAGGGGTTGAGAGGACAGAGGGAAGGCAAATGGTGAGGAAGAGGAGGGAGAGGTGGAAAAGTCAGCAGAGGAGAGAGGAGAGAGGAGAGAAGAGAGAAAGAGAGGGAGAGAGAAGGGAGAGAAGAGAGAAAGGGAGAGAGAGAGAAAAGGAGAGGGAGAGAGAGAAAGGGAGAGGGAGAGAGAAAGGGAGAGAGGAGAGAGAAAGGGAGAGGAAAGAGAGAGAGAGGGCAGAGGAGAGAGAAAGGGAGAGAGGCGTGAGAGAGAAGAGACGAAGAAGGGAGAGAGGAGAGAGAAAGAGAGAGAGAGAGAGGGAGAGGAGAGAGAGAGCAGAGAGAAAGGAGCGAGAGAGAGAGAGATGAGAGAGAGAGAGAGAGAGAGAGAGAGAGAGAGAGAGAGAGAGAGAGAGAGAGAGAGAGAGAGAGAGTGTGAGAGAAAGGGGAGAGAGGGGCTGGGAGAAGACCTAACATTGATAGATATAGAGAGAAAGAAAGGAGAGAGAGAAGAGAGGATGAAAAGAACAGACAGAGAGAAACAGCCGCAGCCAAGCGAACAGAGCAGTAAGAAAGAAAATTACACCAGAACTATGGAAGGGAAAATCAATGGATAATGTTGCCACCGAAAGGAAAATGAAACAAAAGAGCAGCGGGGCAAGGGAGCGAGGGCTGCCGGAGTCGGGGACGGGTGCGCGGCAACTCTCGCCCGATAAAGGTCCCTCTCTAATCTTGGCCGTGCCTTCCCCTTGGCCGATAGCTTATCTGACCCGTCGTGGCATCGCCCACCCAACCATATACCTCGGCTGTTTCATGTCACGTGGCACCTCTTAAGATTGATTTGCGCCGTGGCGTGGAATCACGGGCCAGGGAGCGGGGTGAGGGGGGCTAATGGGACGCAGCGCCGGGTTTTATGAGGTAATGGGGTTTAATGCAGATTCCAGCGGACAATGGCTGTTGCTAGATTTCATGGGTGTGGGGTTGCGTCTGTGGGTTATAGTGGGGCGAAACAGCCTAGTAATGGAGGCGGGGCATGGGGGCTGGTGCCAGTGAGATCCTGAAGAAGGGGGAACCTGAAAGCACAGCGGTCTTTCGAGGTCGTGACGTATGAATTTCGACCACAGAATTGAACTGCAGGAAGCGACCGCAGAAATCGAGTCTAGGGTTTCGCCGCTTGAAGAAGACCCGTCGTAGCGACCCGCGCTCTGCCCGGTCACTTTTGAAGAATTCGAAGGAATGACAGAATGGTCGAAAGAAAGAAAAAAAAATCGGAAAATACAGGGAAAATAGGAAAAAGTTTGGAGGAAGGGGTCTTATGAAATGGCAGGTAACTTCTCGTGTGAAAAAAAAGGAAAAGGGCTGGAACGATAGGAGAAGAGAGAGAAAATATACGTAAACACCGGAGAATTCCTGAAAATATGGACACGCAATAGGAAGAAATAAAGAGAAGAGAATAAAGTCAGACAAGGTGGAAGAAATATCACGACTCGGCAAGACGGAATCAGAGAGAAAAGAATAAGGAAGAAAAAGTAAAAGGAAGACACAGCGAATGTACAGCGCAGGGATTCGTTTTTGCGAACCCTTTGACACGTTCAACAGCAAACGCCGGCGGTGAGCATTATTAAATAACTTCCCAAACCCCGAGGGACCAGTCCACTTGCCCGCGTTCACTTAACACAGCGAAGTTCCCTTTTGGCCTCGTTCTCTCCTGCTGGAATGCCTGAAGAGCCGTCGTTTTTTATTGATGTCATAGCCTTTGATTGCTTACATTTCTTGCCTTGCCGTCGCCGAAGAATATATTATATATATATAATATATATATATATATAGTAATATATATATATATATATATATATATATATATCAGTCATGCTTCGCTCCCGCTGGGAACACCAGCTGTTTCCTTGAGTCCGGTATTGCACCACGGACTGCTCAGGCGGTGTCGGTTGCAGCTGTTTGTTTTGCTTTGACGAGATTGTTCAGTTGTTAGAAATTTGGGTATGAGGGAGGGGGAAGGAGGAGGGAGGAGAAAGAGGGGCAGGAGGCAGGAGGAGAAGTAGAGAGAGCAAAAGAAGAAGCGATGTAAACGGGAAGAAAGAAGAAGAGAAGAAGAAGAAGAAGAAGAGTGGAAAGGGAAGAGAGGAAAAAACAG